GCAGAAGGTGCCCCACTAATAAAATCCTAGATTTGGATCCTCCAAAACAAACAAACAAATGCAAATGCCAAACCCCTCAGGCCTCTTGACTCCTCCTGACCCTTGATGTCTGTTTCAGGTCCTGGAGACATATGTCACTGAAGTGTGTGATAAAAACCTATCGAGGGCAGGATGTCATGTTTGTAAAAGTTCCACAGAGTGCTTCACTTTGTTTCGTAATACCAAAATGTTTGAAATAAAATACACAAATCAGAGAGGAAACCAATTATATCGAAACAGTTATAAATTTTTTTAAAAGTTCATGGACCCCAGGCCAATTACTTCTATACCAGAGTGATTCTTTTCTAAGTTGGGAAATCTGTTGTTCTCATCTTTAAATAGATGATAAGAAACCTTTTCCATGTCCTCCTCAGTCCTGGAATTCTTGGGCAGAGGAGAAAGGGATCCGCTATCTTGGTATCCTGAGCTCTCTCTCAGTGCCTGCTCTAGGTGGGTGCTTAATAAAAACTTGATGTTGAATCAAAGTGATTGAAGTTTGTGAGGATATTTTAATAAATCTGTAAGAAAAAAAGTCCCCAGTCCTCGCTAGGGGAATCCTAATGTCCTAAGTGACTCTTGTCATAGTGACTCCCAATAATTCCAATTCCCTGGGACCTCTATCTTTAGTCTGTCTCCCTCTCTGTATCTATGTGTGCCATAAACACACACATACACACACACACACACACACACACACAAGCACAGAGAAGATGATCATGGTTTATAGATTTGGAGTTGAAGGGGACCCTAAGAGTCATCTAAATGAAATTCTTCATTTTCCAGATGAAAGAAGCACAGGACACAACTTGCCTAAAGTTGTACACAAAAGTGTTATGATCACACAGGTCCCATCACAGGCCCCTAGATTTTGTCCTGGAAGGGGCTTCAGAGGCTGTTTCATCTGACCCTCTCATCTTGCAGAGCAGGAAACGGAGGCCACGGGACGTGAAATGACAAGTGGTCAGGAAGTGTCAGAGGGGAGATTTTGAACCCAGATCTTCTAAATTCCAGAGCCAGCACTGTTGCTGTGCTCAAACTAAACTTAGCTCATGGCCTGCAGGCAGGTAAATATCTGAGAAATAATAGATCAGAAAAAGAGGTGGTTACTTAGGCTTTTATTAATTAAGATATTTTTATATTTTATATTTTACTAGCATTTTGAGATATTAAAAAAACAACAGCCTCATAATAGATTACAAAGAAGACAATACAGATGCCTTATCTTGCATGTTTGGATATGTCCAATTATCAGTACATCTTTGGGAAGGTGTGTGTTTCTTAATTCTTTCCCTATTCCTACTTTGTTCCTCTTAGTAACAAAGTCTCTTATGCTTTTGGCAAAGTTTCCTGATATGCTGAAGGAGACTTTTTTTTTTTAAAGTTTAAGAACCTTATGGGCTAAACAGTTCTTTCTTTTGCCTAGATCCCTCTTGTTCCCCGAATGTCCATTAGCTTTGTTTACTGGCGTCATTAGACCTGGGAAGTATCTGATCACATCACCTGATATAATCTAATTTTTCTTGTCCATGAGTTACATTCTCCAGTGTTTTGTGAAAAACTATATCTACTCTATAAATTTATTTTAACAATGTGTAAAATAAAAATTCCGCATACAGGTGTGATTTTCCACCATTGTTCCTGAGTCACTCTTCGTAGGCTACAAAGTCTGCATTGTGGCCATAGGTTGTCAAGGCAGTTTGTCTGAAGAGTGTGGCAGCTTCTCTGCTACAATAGAGTCACCTTTTAGCCATCCTTGTTTTTAGTTTGGCCAGGATCCCGTGAAGGAACAGTGCCATCAGCAACAAAAAAGGGCTTCTTAATTTCTGTATCACCAGGCCCCCTTCTTGTCTTCTGGTGTTGCCTCTGAAGGAATGAAGGGGGAAAGAACAGTCATCGGGAGGCTAGTCACCCCTCCCACCAAAAAAAAAAAAAGACTATCTTTGTCGTTGCTGACAGCTGGTGGCTTCTTTCTGAAAAGCTTTCAAATCATAGATCATTCCTTCATAATGAAACCTGTGTGGCTCGAGTACAGTGGGTTGAAATTCTTATCTTGTGCCACAGTGAAATGCTCTAATTTAGATTCACAAAAGGATTCTGTACCCTTTACTTAGGAGAGCTATGCAATTTACCCATAAAAAGACTGTTCAGCACCATTAGTGCATGCCGTAAGTGTTCAGAGGCTTCATCCTTATTAAACACCATATCCTTATGCATAACCTTTTCAACCCTGAGGATGTTTGCTTCCTTTGAAGGATGACAAGTGAAAAAATGGGTGAGGGAGCCCCAAAGCAACCTTGTTGCCTCCAAAAGAATGAACTTGGGAACTTTTGCTTGTCCCTGTCTTCACCCTCTCCCCCCAATCTACTCCACCTCCCCTCAAAACTATGATCTTATGTTGAGTTTCTTCTCACTGGTGGTAGTTTTGAGTCCCTCCTTAGACTCATGCTATAGACAAAGGAATGCACCCTGGTTCTTTATCCTTAATAATAGGGTTCCTGATCTCAATGGCACATGGCGTTATGGTACTAGAGGGGACACCCTTCAGGGTGAAGCTCAGAGTATACAAAGATCCTTAAAAAACAAACACAAATTTGTACCAAATATTGAGGACTTCTCATCTTGACCATTTTTAAAAAAAATTTTGTTGGTTTTGCAATATCTGTTTTCCATACAATCTGAATTGTAGGATCTGAAGAAAACTTTGGGGATCCTACGGATCAAGTCTAATTTCTCCACCCATTTTATGGAGAAGGAAACTGAGACTCAGGGAGATAAATGACTGGCAGAGATAGCACAAATAGTAGTAACAGAGATTGTGTCCCAACCCAGGTCTTCAGATCAGGGTTTTTTTCTACTGTCCCATTCTGGCTTGGGAGATTCTCAGAGCTGCAAGAGAGGTCAGCAGTGATCTAGCCTGACTAGAATCCTTTCTAAAATATCCCCTTCAAGTTACCATCCATTCTTTGCTCAAAGATCCCAGCTGAGGGCGAGAAGCATCATCAAAGTAGCAGATAGCAAGTTTTCGCATCAATTGTAGAAAAAATTGCTTCCCCCCAACCTTCCCTCTATTGGTTCCCTTTCTGCCTTTGAATGCCAAGAAAAAAAACAGATCTAATTCCTATTTGACATGACTTTAGATACTTTAGGTACTTTAGATGCTTGAAGGCAGCTACCCTCGAGTCTTCTCTATACCAGGTGAAACTTCTCTTGTTTCCTCTTGTTCCTTTAATTGGTCTTTATACAGAAAACTTTTTAGTTATAGAAGTAGCTAGGTGAACAGAGTGCTGAGCCTGTAGTCAGGAAGCCCTGAATTCAAATGTGACCTGAGATACTTACTAGCTATGTGACCCTGGGCAAATCACTTAACCTCTATCTGCCTCAGTCTCCTCAGCTGTAAAATGGGCATCATGATAGCACCTATTTCCTAGGGTTGTTGTGAGGATTAAAGGAAACAGTATTTGTAAAGTGCTTAGCACAATGCCTGGCATATGGTAGATGCTTAATAAATTCTTCCTCCCTCCCTTCCTTCCTTCTCTCCTTTCTTTCTTCCTTCCTTCTTCCCTCCCTCTCTCCCTTCCCTCCTTTATTTCCTCTCTCCCTCTCTTCCTTCTTCCTTTCTTCCCTTCTTCCCTCCTTTTCTCCCTTCCTTTTTTCCTTCCTTCTGCGCTTCTCTTCTTTCTCCCCTTCTCCCCTCCCTCCTTCCCTCCCTTTCTTCTTTCCTTCCTTTTTTCCTTCTTTCCCTCCTTTCTTCCTTCTTTCCCTCCTTTCTTCCTTTCCTTCCTCCTTTTGCCCCTCCCTCCCTCCCTTCCTTCCTTCCTTCTCTCCTTTCTTCCTTCTTTCTCTTTTTTCTTCCCTTCTTCCCTCCCTTCCTTTTTTCCTTCCTTCCTTCTCTTCTTTCTCCCCTCCTTCCCTACTTCATTTCTTCCCTTTCTTCTTTCATTCCCTTTTTCCTTCCTTCCCTCTTTTCTTCCCTTCATCCCTCCTTTCTTCCCTCCTTCCCTCTCCCTTCCTTTTTTCCTCTCTCTCTCCCTTCCTTCTTCTCTCCTTTCTTCCATTCTTCCCTCCTCCCCTTCTTTCCTTCCTTCCTTCCCATCCCGAGTGCCCTCCTCTGGACATGCTCCAGTTTGTCAATGACCTTCCTAAATTGTGGCACCCAAGAACTGGACGCAGTAAATCGGGTCTTACCCTGCCTGAAGGTAGTTTGACTCTTGTCTCTTAATGTAGCCTCAGATCACACTGGCTGGCTGGCTGGCTGGCCATACCATGGTGCTTCCTTCTGTTGAACTTTCAGGCCGTTGGAATCCCCAGGTCATTTTCACAATAGCTGTTGTCCAGCCGTGTCTCTCCTGTCTGTAGTTGAGAAACTGATTTGTTGCTCTTATTTTGGGGTTGGAAGATGAGACTCCCTTTTTGCTGCATGTCATTAATTACTCTAGTGTGATGGTTCTTAACTTGGGGTTTGTGAACTTGCTTTTAAAATATTTTAATAATGATATTTCTATAGAATTAATTTCCTTTGTAATCCTGTGCATTTTATTTTATGCATTAAAAGTATGATTCTGAGATTGCCTCAAACTGCCCAAGGGGTCCATGACATAAAAAAGGTTAAGAAATCCAGCTCCCATCAGCAAAATGCTTGTTCTCCTGATTTCTTGTCTCTCTGCCTTTGTGAAGATGGCCTGCATTCACCCACTGGGATAATCTCTGAGGGAACAGTACCGTAGGAAAAGGCCTGGCCCTGGGCTCAGAGGCCCTCCTTGAGTCTCAGTTTCTTTATCTGGAAAATGGAGAGTTGGCTTTGCTGGCTCCTGGGATCCTTTCCAGATCTAGATTGGTGTGTGGGAAAGCCACCATTTGTACACTACAGTTGGGTGTCTTAGGCTCAACGTGCCTTTGTGTATCTTGCTCTCTTGCATGTCAGAATTTTCCTAGACATGCCCAATTTCTTCTTTCCCCTTTAGGCACCCCTGAGAGTCTGGCAGAGAAAGAACGGCAGCTCTCCACCATGATCACCCAACTGATCAGCTTACGGGAGCAGCTCCTGGCTGCGCACGATGAGCAGAAAAAGCTAGCCGCCTCCCAGATTGAGAAGCAGAGGCAGCAGATGGACCTAGCTCGCCAGCAGCAAGAGCAGGTGAGGCACCCAGAGAGGAGGCTGACCTGCCCAAGCCTGGGCTTGGATCCCCGTACAGAGGGCTGAGCGTCACCTGGATCAGCCTCATGACGTTGGGGAGGATGTGGGCACAGTGACTCCCTCAAACGTCACGCCCGCAGATCAGAACCTGTTGGAGTTTTTTGGGGGGTGTCATTTGAGGTCAAAGGGAAGAGTCTATCAGCCCGACAAAGTAGCTATAACATGCATTATTCTAGAATAATGGGGCCAGTGTATTAGATTAATAATGGTGGGGAGTCAGTCGCTTAGGGATAGTTCTCCCTGTAGGTATTTGATACACTTGCCTTTTATTAGCACAGGTGAATTTTTCAAGCCAAATTCCCATACTTTTTTCCAAGATTGTGAAAATTTACTTTCTTAAGGACCTATGAACTTGAACCACGGAGCTCAGCTTAGGAAACTCTTCCTGGTTTTAAAAACTGTCTGTAAACTAGTCAAAAGGAAACAAGATGAATAATAAAGTTTAAACTATATAATTTTAAAGGTAGTCACTCTCCCAAACACTCTATACATCTCATTAGAGTGCAGTAATCTTAACAACAATGATTCCATGGAGCAGTCCTGTAGGCATTAGATCAGACAGACCCAAATTAATGTGCAGTTTTTAGGAATCTGACATTATTACTGGAATTATCTTTTCAGTTAAATGTATTTTATAGGGGTATATAGAGCAATATATGCTCTGTTGATTTTAATGAGTTGTGACGTCTGGTATTTTATGTGCTTGAATATTTGCCCACATGTAGGAATATGGACTCAGCCTCTAATGGAAAATAACATAAAGGAAGACTGTAAAAAATCAGAAGTTAGAATGTCATTTAGCCATCCAGAGATGACACAGTAATTAACTATTGACACTTGTGAATAAGCTAGCACAAATTAATCTTGACACATTTGCAGACGAGTGATATCTTACAGTGAACACTTTGTAATTATATTTCAAAATGAAAATTAAATGACACTTAAAACTAGGTTGTCATGCCCAATGAAGCGAGCATGTATCTCAGCCGATTGGCAAATAAAATTCAGAATTTGAGCCACATGGTGCTTATGTCCCATACTTCACTGTGTCAAGCCTATACATCCAGAGTGGATGATGGTAATTGCGATGTGGTGTTTGGGATGCATTTCTATGCATCACTTTATCACTTAGGAGGTACCATCAATATTAGATGCCTGGTGGTGTTTCACTGGTTTCCAAGCAGGAAATAAATATTCAGAGGCCCTAGCATCAAACCAAGAGCTGCAGTGTGAGCTGTGCTCCAGTGATTTGGACTGTGTCAAGGACAGCTGGCTGTGTCCATGGGCTAGAGTGGAATCCTTTCCTTTCCCTTCTCCCCCTCCAACTGAGTTACCCTGGCCTAAGCTCCACTGACCTACTCCTAGGACGCCAACCCACCATTGAAGCGACACTTGGGTCCTGGGCAACACCACTCTGCCAGTCATCTCACTGGCCTGGGGAATTTGCTTTCTTCTTCTTGGGAGGCCTGGGCAGTGCAGCCCAGGACTGAAGTTCTGTCCCTTCCATCTCCTAGATCCACAATGTCCCTAGAATACAGGTCCAGCCTCTTTCTGTTTTAGGGCTGAGAAATAGGAAGACAAGTCACTTGCTCTTTCCTTAAGAGCACCTTTAAAGCCAGGGGCCACCTTGGACCTGCTCCCTTCCCTGCCCATTTTTCTCCACTGCAGCCTGACCTAGAAGGGAGCTTCCTCTGGCCATCGAGTTGCCTTCAAGACTTAAAGCTGCAACAATCCCATTTTTGAGATAGTGTGCAGCCTGCTGTCTAGCCTGTGCTTCGTGGTAAGCACCATCATCCCAGCGAAGTTGTTTGGTCCCCCCTGAGGAGAGCATCCAGCCGTAGATAGACTATTTCTACACACCAGAAGATGTTTTCAGGCATGGAATCCAATTTTCTAACCAGGAAAAAGAATGGAGTGTCTGTTTGGGAATCCCCATATGGATGATAAGATTGACTCACTCCTCTTAGGAAGGGATGAGTGATTCTGTAAGGCAGAAACCTGAGAAATCTTTTACCTGGAAGTTTAGGTCTTTAAATAGCTCACTCACTTCACTATGTGTGTGTGTGTGTGTGTATTATATATACACACATGTGTATAGATGCCTGCATCTATACACATGTGTATATTCATATATGCACGTATATGTATATATGCATTCATATATGCATATAGAAATATGTATAAATGCATATACAGTTGTATAGTGAATAGAGTATTGGCCTCAGTTTCAGGAAGATCTAGGTTCAAGTCCTACCCCTGATACCAGCCTAGCTATCTGATGCTGGACAAGTTCCTTAACCAAACCCTTGATTCACTCCCCATTTCTCTTAGACTATACATTGCAGACTCTCTTCATTTGGTAGAGGGAGTCTTCTTACCAGGAGTTGCTTATACTAATGAAGTCTCTATCTCTGTCTCTCTCTCTGTCTTTCTCTCATCTGTCTCTATATTAAGTATTTCTATATATCTAAGCAGCTAGGTTGTACAGTGGCTAGAGCTCTGGACCTTGAGTCAGGAAGACCTGAGTTCAAATCCATTCTCTGATATTAACTAGCTGTGAGACCACAAACAAATCACCTAACTTTTGACTGCCGTGGTTTCTTCATCTGTAAACTGTTTGAAATGTCATAAGAATAGCTCCTACCTCCCAGGGTTGTTGTGAGGATAAAAATGAGATAATTACTTGTAAAATTCTTTGCAAACCTTAAAGCTCTATATAAATGCTAGCTTTTGTTGTTAGTGTTATTGTTTTACTTGAGCCTATATGAATGTTTGAAGCATTAATAGGCACTCATGTCCAAAGCATCATGCTATGTGCTGAGGAGAAAAATAGAGAAGAAAGTAGCCTCTGTTCTCAAAGACATTGTATTGGAATGCACCTATATATAGGTATTGGGGAGGGGCGCTTTGGGGATTGCTGTGGCAGCTTTTATTTAATTTTTCAGTTCTTCTGAAGATTGTATCTGATAGGTGCTGAAAAAGACAGAACTCTGCCTCTAACTCCCATGTTGAGTCTGGAGAGATTTTGTATCAAAGCCACTCACTTTTCCTAACTCTTACTTCCAGTTTCTGCTTTCTCAGCCCAAATTAATCTCATTAGAAAAGTATAGCTGGAGTTTTACAGTTTTACAGTCTTCATTCTCTAAGGGCCAGAATTTCAAATTCTGGACCTTTCAAGATGACAGGTGTGGGTCTGGGTGATATGATGCGTCTGCAAACCTCCCCCCCGAAACAGTAGTGCTCATCTGCCTGTAGCGATTTAGGAGCCAGCAGAGAGATGGCACCAGGTTGGGATTTGTCCTTTGCTCCACCTTTCCTTGGCTGCCTCCCTCACTTTCCAGTAGCCCTTGCCCACAGAGGTGCAATAAAACATCGTTTGGATGCCAGGAGATGTACCTGAGGTGATGCTTGGGGTTTAAACACTTCATTGTAACTTAACACAACTTTCTTTCTGACAGATTGCGAGGCAGCAGCAGCAACTTTTGCAACAGCAGCACAAAATCAATCTTCTGCAGCAGCAAATTCAGGTCAGTGTGTTTTATGACTCTCATCTGATTGCACTTCATGCTTGCCCTCCTGAAGATGGAGTTTCCCAGGTTGCAGACATGCCCCTCTCCTGCAAGGAGCAGCCGCAAGAGTTGCATTTATCGAAAGTCAGCCTGCATGACTTTCCAAGTGACTCTAGGCCATGTTGGACCCAGTAGGGGGTCTAGCACAGCTTGTGAATTTTTTGATGATGTCCTGGGCTCCTCTGAGAAGTCAGTGGAACAGACGTTGGTGCTTTTCCTCCCATCATTTGCCTGACATGGTATTACACCAATTTACCCAGAAGAATGTGGCGTTTCTGTGCTCTCATCCTCACCTCTTTCTCCTTGGTGTTTTACCATATCTGACATTGTTGCAGTTTGTGATTTGCTTGTCCTTTGGTTTGTGTGAGATACTGCTCTACCCAGCTTTCCAGAATTTCTTTTTCTCCCGGGTACCTGAAGTGGTTTGATTTGACCATCTCCCATATCACATGGGCTTATGAACAAGAAGAATGCAGCTCGTACTTCTGACCTTCTCACTCCAGGCATTCATTTCTTCTTGAGGACTATTAATTTAATAATTCGATTATGGACAGGGCTCTCTGTTGGGTAAGAAATTGAATAAGGCATAATTCTTGTTCTCAAGGAACTTTCAATCTGACCTAGAAAGAGAGATAAAATGAAAAGCCCTTAGAAATGTAAGTAAAGGCACAAGCATTCAAGCATTGAATGCCTGCTTCTCTCCTCCCCTGACAGGAAGGATAGATGAGGACTTGGGATGGTTAGATGGTTGGGATGGAAAGGGTTTTCCCTTTCTGGAAATGGGTACTGAAACAACTGGCCAATGTGATTGCTGAGCCACTGTCAGTGATATTTAAAAGACTCCAGAAAATAGGAGAGCTCCAACTGGTCTACAGATATTTTCCTAATTCTCAAGAGAGAGAGAGAAAGAGAGAGAGAGACCGAGACAGAGAGAGACAGAGACAGACAGAGAGAGAGGGAGAGAGACAGAGGGAGAGAGAAACAGAGAGGTTGAGTGTCTACAAACTGAAAGCCTGACTTAAATTCCTGGGAAATTTCTAAAGTGAGTCATTGGAAGAATGGTTAGTGAGCATCTAGAAAAAGGAAGTTTGTGATTACAAAAAACCCACCTGGCTTCATTTTAAAAATGGGCCCTATTAGACTGACCTTTTTTTTTTTTTCCAATTTGCTATAAATATAGTTAGCTTAAAATTTAGCAAAGCACTTAATCAAGCGTCTACTACTATTCTTGTGCAAAAAATGGATATAGACAAGACTGATTGAATGGCTGGACTCAAAGAATGGTTATTGATGGTTCAATGTTAGCTTGGCAGGAGGTCTCCAGTAGGTGATCTGTACTTCATCCTGTACCATACAACACTTTTGTCAATAATTTAGATAAAGGTATGAATGAATGAGTCCACGAATGGTACATCATTTAATACGTGCTGACTCTGTGCATAGCAGTGTGCTAAGCCCTGGGGCTACAAATAGAAAAATCAAGACAGTTCCTGCCCACAGAGGACTCACATTCAAACCAGGGGAGACAACATATAAAATTTTATGGCATGTTCGTAAGATTCACGGATGATGCAAAGCTGGGCGAGCCAGCTAAAACACTGAATGGCAGAGTTAGGATTTACAAAGATCTTTGACAGGCTAGACTGCTGGGCTGAACCTAATAAGATGGAATTTAGGAAAATAAGTAGTAAGCCTTACACATGGGTTCAGAAATCAACTTCACAAGTATTAAGAGAGGCCAGTTAGCTGTTGAAAAAGGACCTGGTTTGGTTTGGTTTGCTTTTCTTTTTTGCTGTCTAACTTGTATTTAAGCAGCTTTGAGGAATTCTCTGTATCACAAGGTAGCCCACTCAGTTGTTGGACAACTCATCACCAAAATTGTGTCCCTGTGACTTCCTCTGGAGCCCATGGAATGAGTCCAACCCTTCTACCACCTCACACCTCTTGACTTGTGGGAAGACAAGGAATATATTCCCCTTAAGTGTTCCCTAGGTTAGGAGTTCTCTGTTCCTCTATCTGATCCTTATAAATCATGGTGGTTCAGACCCCTAATCATCGCAGTCCTTTTCCTTTTAATGTACTCAGCCTTGTCAATAGTCCTATTAAAATGTGGCATTTAGAACTCAACACAAAACTATGTATCAGGGAAGCCCATTACAGTCATCGGCACATCGGATGAGCTCCTCTATCCAGTGATTGTTCAGCATTTCAGCCAAATGTTTCTTTAGTCCTAATCTTGTATTCTGTGCTTACAAAAACTATTAGCCCAGTTGCAGGATGTCTAAATGTGGGAGAATTGTATTTCATCTTGGGGTCTTGCCTGTCTGCACAATTAAATCTTGTTAGAATTTTTGATGATGACCATCTTGTGATTCCTACTGAGTTTCTTAAATAACTGTTCAGGTGTTCTCTTACACCAGACTTACTAGAACTGTCAGTGCCTTTCCTACTGCTGAGGTCGGGACTTTTAACCTTTCACTTTCTGCATTTTCCTCCCTGGATCCCTTCCTAAGCACACGGTGCGTGTGAAACGATTCAATGGCTATTTACTCTTTATGACCCTCCTATTTGCCAAGCAGAGATGGAAGTGTCTCTCTGAGAGGGCTGCATTTCGGTGAGTTTCTTACTCTTGCTCCTTGGCTGCTGCCCTTAGTGGTTTTATTACTCCCAGATTTCCAATATTTTACTTCTCATCCCAGCGTTATGTTGCTTGGACTTCAACTGGCCTTCTTAATTAATGTTTGTAAATGGCTCTGAAGACCTCAGATGAAAGGAACCAAGTAAGTCCAAGGCATTATTTATGAACTATTATTAGTATTTATTACCTGCATATAATTGTATAGTTATTAGTCTGTGACATGAAATGGCTCTTTTTCTCATGGAACTGTTAAGCCTAGTCATGCAGTAGAACTTCCTAGTAGCTATTCAGTTTAAAAAGGAGGGGGAAACCTTTTGTTTTCTTGCTTTCTAGCAAAAAAACACACATTTTTCTTAAAATTATGAACTTTAGCAGAATTTAAGGGGGAAAATCAAACAATCTGTCTTTGAAATCCTCATTATGGTCTACTTCCTAATTATGGAAAGCCATGGCTACATACTACTTAAGTATGACCCTACTGGTTTGTTACAGTGCTCCCAAGGCTGGTCTAACATTCACTTCATATTTTTATGAAACACCAGGATCCTATGCTCATTTTCTTAACTGTTAAGTCATTCTACTGACATGCTTGGAGAACATCCACAGTTGTCCATCCCATTTCCCAATGAGTGTGGTAAAAGTGCTATGGTCCTATTCATTTTAGCAATGTCAGACTGTTTCTAACAGCATCTTGTGCTCAATGAAGTAAGAGAAAATAAGGGACCTCATAGCTGTAGTTCTTTATGTCTTCAACAACTCCTCATCTCTTTTCAGCATTTATCTTATCACTGTGAGACCATGCAAGGAATTTTTCAAATGTGGAAAACACCCACTGCTTACACAGAATTTATCAATCTCTTAAACAGTAACAGAGTAGGTATTTACTATATCAAACTATCTTACTTTCTAAATGACTAGAAGGCTCACACTTTTTGACGTATTTTTTTTAAACTAACCACCAAATGGACAAATATAGACTAGAAATGTTAATTGTGCTAATTTTAACATAAAATATCCCATTTATGCCCACAATATTAGCAGGGAATCTTTAGGATAGGTGACTTTAGAGATTAGTTTTACTCAAAAGAAAAATTAAGCCTTTCCTTGATTTGAAATCAGCAGGCCTGGGTTCCAATACTTCTCTGCTACTTATTCTGCATGGCTGAATAAGTCATTAACCTCAGAAGTTCTTAACCTTTTTGTTCCATGGAACCCTTTGGCAGTCCAGTGAAGCTTGTGGACTCCTCAGAATGATGTTTTAAAATGCATGAAACAAAGTACGTTGAATTATAAAAGAAACGAATCATGTTGAAATATGTTTATTAAAAATAATAATAAAATGTTCACAGACAATAGGTTAAGAACCCTTGGTTTAGATAATCTCTAATATCTCTCTAAACTTTAGATTTTTACCCCTGCCTTCTAGGGAAGGTCTGGGTACAGCAGATACCAAGTCCTTGCACCCATGGTCAACCCTGGGAATTGCAGACTTGACGAATGGAACAGGATTGACTGCAACACCAGGGGTTTGAACTCAGGAAGACTCTCTATTTTTTTTTTTTTTGCTACTCTCTTATGAACTGGCACTGATTCTTTGAGTTTTGCATACTTCTGTCTAGAGAAAGGGAAATAGCCCAAGGTTTTCACAATATCTGTGCAAGAGCTGTGATGAGATTTTTGAGGGCTGGTATGGAGGGAATGGGGCAAATGAAAACATGAACAACTTCTAGAGCTTTCAGACCAGAGAGTCTTTCTAGAGAAAGAAAGGACATAAGTGTAATAGGAATGTTTCAATCACTAAAATTTTTGTATGCAGATAAAAGGCAATGTCTTTTTTTTCCTCCTCTTCATCTTGAATGCAATTTTTTTCTGTGTTAATAACTGAAAATTTCAAATATAATTTCTAAGACTGTGAGGGTCCCAATAAAAATAATAGTTTGAATAATTTGAGTCAAATCAATAAGTCAGCCATTTATTAAGCATTTACTGTGTTCTATAAACCACACACACACACACACACACACATATACTCCTCATGTACATGTACATATTTATTTTTTATGTGTCTGTCCATCCACAGGAATATAGATAGTTTGGCAGGTATTTTGAGAGTGAACTTTCAAGGTTCCTTTCTCTTTTGAAAAAAAAAGTGACTGTCCCAGAACACATGATGGAAATTGAATAACTTTTTTTCAGTAAGTCTGAAAAATCTTAGGAAGATATTTTTTCCCTTGCTTTGGTTTCATTGCAGAAAATCTCACCGTCTGCATTAAGCCTATGTATAAGAAAACCAATAACATTCAAGAACTGTGGATTGTAC